AACAGAAAAAAGTTCTTCATAAGCATTTCAAAACACATGAACACACATTAAACATGTCTTATCAAATAAGGACTAACCTTGTGCCACTTCGGAGGGTGCGAGTCCTTCAAATAAGAAGTAATATTTTAACTATCTTTCCTTCTTTTTCTACGTTTCAATCTCAGCCTCTTCTCCGTGTCTCGCTGTAGCCACTAACTAAAAATGTCGCGTACTTTCAAAATAAAGCCCCTTAAAACAAGGTAAAATGTAAAGCATTGTATATTCACAAAAATAATGGAGGCAAAAAATAAACTTATAATAATTTCACATTGTAATATGTCTTGTAACTAAATTGGAAATCGGGTCATTTACATTAAGAGATCAATGTCTTGGTAAAATCTTTGATTTTTTTTTTTTTTTTGTAATTGTTCTCCTGAAAAGGATGAAGAATCCAAATTGTTTAAATTCATTGTTAATATGGTGGAAAACCAGCTAATGGGTCCAGGTGTCTCTCCTGACCCTCAGAAAGGCGAGAAATTTTCTCTGGACTCTGGCTGAACCTTTGGGCTGTTTGTACCTGAACATTTAGGCTACGTTCACACTGCAGCCTTAAGGGCTCTAAATCCGATTTATTTTGCCCTTATGCGACGTGTATCTGATCTTTTAGTGACATTCTGAACAACATGGATCTGTTTTTTCCCCTTCTCCCCAATGCGAGCCCGGCCCCCTTTGCTCTGGTCCCAAATCCAATACGAATCTGATCTTTTCTAGTGTGACCTGCGTCTAAACAGCCTGGTCGCATTCATCTGACCTGAATGTCATTTATACCCGACAAAGGTCACTAATCTGTGGCTTGTTATGCAGAAGCCGGAAGAAAATCGATCATGACGGACGATGATGCAGAGAGCAGTCTTTATTTTCAGCCCTCTAGAAAAGATGGTGTTAATGCACTGGCTGAGGTTCGGGAAGAAATGAAAGATCACTAGATGTTCTCTAGCTCTACCATCCATGTTTACCTCTGTAAATACAGAGCATGGTCGCTTGTGATGTCATTGCATCACCTGTATGCAAAACACTTAAGCTGTATGAATGCAGTTCTCACAGAAGATCAGATGCAAGTCACATAAATTTGGTCAAAAAAATAGTTTCACACTAAATCCAAACTGAGCATCGATTCCTGCAGTGGGAACGTAGCCTTAGTCCAGATCCTAATCTTCTTTCAAACAGAATTTGCTGTCATGTTTCTGTCGTATTCATCTTTATATCCCACCATCTCTGATTGGAACGTTTCTAATTTATAGACGCAGAAATAATGAAGCTCTGAGGATTTAGTTTCCTGTTGGTTTGAGCTATAAAGTTCTCTTGTGCTGCTTTCAGGTGCGTGAGTACGAGTTGAGGAAGAACAACTTCTCCGACACCGGAAACTTTGGATTTGGCATCCAGGAGCACATCGATCTGGGCATCAAGTACGACCCCAGCATCGGCATCTACGGACTGGACTTCTACGTGGTGAGACTGAAACGCCTTCCTGCTGTAGATCAGAGACGTTCTAAACACCACAGAACATTTGAAATGGTTCAACGTTCCGTTTTAATCATCTGTAAAGAACTGTAGCTTTGTTTGAACCGGGTCGCTGCATCAGCCAAGGATCTAGTCTCTAATCTGATCCTTTAATCTGGTTTTTATGGAGATGTTTGTCGCGGTTCTGAGGGTCCACTTCTGTCCTCCTTCAGGTTCTGGGCAGACCGGGTTTCAGCATCGCCGACAAGAAGCGGAAAACGGGCCGCATCGGAGCCAAACACCGCATCCGCAAAGAGGAGGCCATGCGCTGGTTCCAGCAGAAAGTGAGTTCAGATGTCGGCAGCAAATGGAGAAGAGTTTAATGCAGAATATTTCAGACATTCCTCTTTTCACTTAAGGCTTCAGTTTGCAACAAAGATTACTTCTTTAACCCAACTATCACCTTCAAAGGCATCGGATTAGAAAACTGTTATTAAAGAAGCAAAATAGTTAAAGAAATGAATCCTGGTCAGTGAGAACGTTTGATTCCAGAAGGTTTTTAGAAGGCTCAGATGCCCAAACAAAGTAATTAACTTTATTGCTTTAAAATGCCTGTTTCTTTATGTCCTGGATGCATTTTTTGGGGGGAGAGGGTGTTTTAGCCGAGTAGTTTAGAAATTATTCAGCGTATTAAACCCTGCTACTGTTGGCGCATCTGTGGTGTTTTCATTTTGAGCTTTTAACAAATGCAAAGTTCCTTTAACTTTTTTTTTTCTGTATAAAACATTAATTCTACTTGTTGCTTCTGATCCCAGTTAACTGAATCTATTGTTTCTTTCTGTTTCAGTATGATGGCATCATTCTCCCCGGCAAGTAAAGGACCACTTCTGTCTTTGTATCTAAAAAATAAATTGTAAAAAAAAAAAAAAGTTGTAGTCCCTTTTCTTTGAGAAGCCTGAGCATGTAAATAAAATAAACATGCAGCTCTATAGATCAGAAAGTGGACTGTTTGCACAATTCTGTTCAATCTATCTTAATAAAGCGGATCAAACTAAAAGGCCAGAATGTTACACAGATCAAAGCAAAAAAATACCCAAAGAATTTACTTAAAATGTATTTTATTAAAGCAGGAACAAAAAAAAAACAGCACTGAAGTAATACAAACCAGAGAAAAGTAAAGATTTTAGACTAATGGATTTAAAAAAGGGGCGGGGAGGAAGTTGGTCTGATTATTCTGGATGTTTAGACCGTCTGCAGGTGGGAGCAGTTAAACTTTATTGATACTTTTCACAAGAGCAAACTAGTTATTCAGGGGAAATGGTTAATGGTGACCTGAAAAAGCTGGCAGTCTTAAGCGTTAAACTTGTTGATGGCATTCACCGGATGTATAGATGGTTTAGTTAAATCCCCGTTTGAAAACTTAGTAAATCTGGTTAAAACAAACTGGCTTTAAACCTGATCTGAACTATAAACGTAAAAACGGATTTAATGTCGACTTCAGTCAGTTCTTTTATTTGTGATATATTTAACCACAAGGTGGCAGCATTGCTTTTTTTTTATCTCCCCTAATTGCAAATGGAAAAATACTAAAGCATCAGACATGTACCGGTAATACAGACTTGATCTAAAATCTTGAAACCTTTTGTAATATGAAGTTACCAAAACAATGTCATCAATACATGTATATTACCTGTAGGGCTACATCAATTTAGAACTTAAGGCACATCTATATTATGCTCTTGAGACATTAATTTTGTTGTGATGGATTTGAAAAATATGTTACATGATTTATTGACTGCAATGTGATGTGCCTATTTTTTATTATTTTAAAGTAAACTAATGCTATGCTAGAGTCAAAGTGATTAATTTATCTTTATGTTTAAAGTCTTAAGTCCCCCGGAAAATGAGGAAAATCGTTGCTCAGTGCTGTAGCGCACGTATTTACATTGCAACCGGTATAACTAGGAGTACCAATATGGCGGCCGATGGCTTCACTTCAACCCCATACTACCAACGGGCAATCCGCGATCCAGTGAACAAAAAGAGATCCGTGGTTTCAGCAGACATGAAGGTTCATCAATCCTGCTGAGATCCTTCGGTTTTAATCAGCTATGTTGGAGCAGAAACACTTGAAACCTGCGATAATTAACGCGCTTGGACATCCTGGCTTCAGGTGTTCTCTGCCAAACCTGAGACGGATCTGAACCTCAAACATCAAACACTTGTGATCTGAGTTTCCCTGTGAAACGGCAACTGCCTTCAGATCGTTGAGTCTTTCCATGTAGCTTTGGGCTCCTTTCCCATTATAAATGTCAGTTTGTTGGAGATGAACTAACATAGACCTTTTTGAACTTCATTCCTGTCCATGATTAACAGCTCCCTGGAGTTAGAGATAAAGTTAGTCAACCAATCACACGGCAGCAACTCTGCGTTTAAGCAGAAAAGCAGAATGAAAGATGATTAGACAAAGCCTTGTACCTGATGGCTTGATCTGAGTATTTCACAAACTTGATCTACTGGGATGCTGATTGGTCTCAAATGATGGACAACAGACGTCTTTATCAAGTCATTCCAAAAAGTAAAAAACAATCCACTGGACTTTGTTTTCCAAGTCTGAAAACGTTTCGCTTCCCATCTAGGAAGCTTTTTCAATTCAAAATGTCTGGATTAGCTTTATAATATAAATTATTGAAGATTTCCAGAGGACTTCACCATTGAAATTCACCAGAGCTATAGTGAAA